GTGGGGTATAGATGATTAAGTGAGGGGAAGCTTGCTCGCATAAGAATGTGATTTGAGTTGAAGTTTAACTACCGGTACTTGAGTTTGATTTTTTGCCTTAAACATTTTCAATGCGGGGAGGGGAAGGGCGTGCACACTATCCTAGATATGCCACTTCACACATTTCTAAACAATTTAGGATTCAATTGATTACAGACCGATATTGTACTACCTGTATATAAAAATGTCTACGGTATTATTGCTATAAGTGAATCCTGATTTGCTGAGAAAATATTTTCTTTAAAGTTATTACAGTATTTTCTTAAATCAGTCCAAAATTTTATTAAAATAGACCTAGCTAATTTATAATAATGATCAGTAATGATTGTTTTCTCGGATTTACAGACCTAAAAATCGTGAAATAAATGCAGATGAATACCTTAACAGAACGTGGAAGTTTATGCAGTAGCTAATCGCAAATCCTCTGTAATTACAGTATTGAACTTGTCATATTTTTGTCAACATTTAGGCTATTATTGACCACTCCTGTTCTTCAACAACAGAAAAAATAACCATTTCAAAAGCTGGGGACAGGCAGTAATTGTAAACATTAAAGACCATTGTCCCACTGCATTCTGAAATTTATAAATGAGTTAATATAACCAAGGCCCGACTCGGGTTCAGTTCTCACTTTATTACGGATGGCCGCTGCTACGCTAAATTGCATCAAATTAACAATTAAAAAATACAATACACACTTTTTTTTAGATAATTGTATTACATTAAGGTATAGGTCTTATTCTAAAAATAAAAGTGAAAAAAGGGGCGGTTCATAAAACGGGGAGTATCCATATCGTGGGATGGTACGGAAGCGTATTGTTGCCAACTAAAAAAATGAAAATTCAGACATTATCTCGTATGTACGAGATAATATCCCATTATAACGAGATAACCATCTCGTAATAACGAGATAATATCTCGTAATTACTAGATATTATCTCGTTATTACGAGATATCTTGTAATTACGAGATAATGTCCGAATTTTAGTTTTTATAGTATAGCAATACGCTTCCGAACGGTACATTATAGAAGGTTTGTTTTTGTAGATTAAACAATGAAAGCAAAACTAATAATAAAATATTGGAAGAGAATTCAAGAACATAGAGCAACACAATTATATATTAGTAGTAGATTAATATGGTTTGATGCGTATGATATAACTTATCACTGTATGTTCCATAATTTTCTAATATAAACGTATGCTTTATGATTTCAACTTCAAAATTATAGCAACTTTATCTTGTTTACTGATATGAACATATTGGTGTTTTATATTATATTATCCGCTATTACATCTAAAGGTAAGTGACTTTTGTGTTTACGAGGTACTGTGCTTTTTTGTTATTAGGTGATTACGGAATTAGCCATTTAAAAATAAAATATAAATAAAAATAATAATATATGAAGCTGAGAATAAAACATTAACCTTTAGACTGTCCATCTATCCATTTGCAGATGGATGCATTTATCTCGATTTTCACAAAGGATTGTTTTCAAATAATATATTATGCAATATTTTTCCTTTAGCATATGGCGATGAAAACAAGTTGTGGGGGATTGAAGGAAATCGAATAAAACTCTCAGCACCCACAGGCCTGCTTAAAGTAACAAGTGTAGAGTCACTGAACTGGTTCTATGGTAATGGTACGAACGCTAACAATGCTATCGTTACCCTGGTAAATCCCAATAAAGATCCTTTTTGTATTGACGTCACTGAGCAAAGCTACGGAGATTTGATTATAGAACATGTGAACAGAACATATTCAGGATATTACACCTGTCAGGTTGTTGAGAAAGTTGTATTTACATCATGGGTATCGACTTATTATTTAGTTGTATATTGTGAGTAGATTATTATGCACATCCTACTTAGACAATCAAAATAACTTTATTCTTTACCGAAAAAGGGTAGGCCTATCCATATCTTAGGTATCAATTTCATGTTGTAAATTTATAGGTTATTGGTTGCATCATCATACAGTATTTCTTTTCACTATATATTTATTGTCTCAAAATTATGAGATAAAATCAGGACGATGAGGACTTCAGGCTTAGGCATCTAATGATTCTTAAAAAATAAATAACAATGACTTGTATATTTATGATTTTTGAAATTGTTTTCTGTTAAAGATATGGATCCTCCTACTATATCAACAAATTGGAGTACTGAAAACAGCCACGCTACTTTCTTCTGCTTTTGGTCTAGAACCAATCCAGATAAACCGATTGTAAAATGGTTCCTTGATGGCCGTGAACTCAAATCTACAAAAAATAAACTAATGTTATGTGAAGAGAAACGGAAAGCAACACTTGTTATTCTTAAAATATCTGCAAAAGGTTTAGGGAATTACACTTGCAGTATTACTGTAAATACAAATAAGGGTGTTATGAGTAAGATTTCCAAAGGATTAGTCCTACATGTAACCGGTAGGTGTTTATTATAATATACTTTATTCTCTACCGAAAAAGGGTTGTTAAAAGAAGAGGAATCTGCGAGTGCGAAAAAGTTGTCTCGACCGGGATTCGAACCTGGGACCTTTTGCTGTCTATGAAGACGCCTTAAGCAACTGGGCCTTTGAGGCTTTGTTGGGAATTTTATTTGAATAAATAAATAATAAATAACAATCTGGTTTTGATATATGCACCGCAGGTAATCCAAACCTTGAACTTTTCTGTGCAGTCACCTCTCATGTGAAGGCGACAGCCTTTCGTTTCCACTTTTTTAATGATGAGCTTATAAAAATCGTGAAAGTTACCCTCAATGATTCAGTTAGCGGAACCGCGCGAATGAAGTTTTTGCTTGAGAGCTGTGCTTATTACTGTACAAATCAGTGTAGTGTTAAAATATACTCTGTATTGTAGGCCTACATAAGGTTTAATATTGTTGCAATGCTTAGTATTATTATAGGGTCGTGATGATCAAGGGCGGCACTAGTGGGGGTCCAGGGGGCAAGGTACTCCGCGTCGGGGACCTCTGGACCCCCACTTGGAACATCTGTCGGCGAATTTCCAGCAAGGTCGTCGGGGAAAAAAATCAAATCTCGAACGCCAAAAGTATAATTCAAGCATGTCTTACTAAGATGTCAACATTTTATTGAGTACCGGTAACTGTTTAGTGCGAGCAGTGCTACCGTATGTGCGAGGTGTTGTATACTACAGTATTTCGATCGTATGGGTTACAGTGGACGTGGGCCAGCTCTTCCACGAAAGGGGGATGGTACCTCCGACAGGGGGTTAGTACCCGGACAGGGGGACTAATACCCCGACATCCCTTTTAAATAAAGAACACAAACTTTTATTATCTGTTAATGAAAAGAAAATAATTTTTCTCCGACAAATTTAATTTTTCCTCGACCGGGGGTTGGGGGAGCTAGCTTCCCCGACCGGGGATGGAGGGGTGGGTGTCCCCTTGTTGGGGAGCTTGGACTCCTCGACGGGGATTTTCTAGCGCCCGCCTCTGGCGATGATAGGAAACATATTCTCCTTCCAATAGAACATCTTTAATGAACATATTCACTCAGAATGTTGAGTGGTGCTTACTGGATCATTTTATATTACTGCAGTACTGTATAACATTTAGTAACAACATCACTGTATATTTTTCAAGGTCTTCCGGTCAAGGTATCCACTTACACAGTCCTCATCGTTACAGCAGTTACATCATTCATTCTTGGTTCTTTTCCAACTTGTCTAATATGCCACTGCGTCCGTGTAAGTATTGACATATCTCAACCCAATATAACCATAAATTATCATTATTATCATAATTAAATTATGGAAATATGCCTATTATAGTATCATTAATAATGTTTTGATGCGCAAAATGTTATTATTGACACCAGCATTATGTTGTTTATGTGCAATATTTTTTTTTTCTACCTGAAAAAATTGTCTTTTTCTCCCGGCAGAGGGTTGAGAGGGCAGCTTTCCCCGACGAGGGTCCTGCCCCATCCTTCCCTGGCCCCATCCTTCTCTGGCGCCATCCCCGATTTTATACCTAATACTGTAAAAGATCGCATTGTTTAATTCTACTTATTTAGAAAAGGCATGAACGAGAAAGTCATCACCAGTGTCAGAGGCATCAGAACCAAGTGCTACAGTTGAGGTCTTTGCTCACCAGAGCTACCCACCAAAGTGACGATGGTGCTGCAGCCAGAAACGCACCGAATGTAGAAAATGTACATCCGCTCTAGGTTTGACGGTTTTATTTCGGATACGGGAACATAATGCGTATAAATACCAAGTGAAATAAGATGTAATAAATGCAAAAATAGGCCTATTTAATTATACAGCTGCTGTAAATGGGTGTCTCCTGTATTTGACTGATTACTGCGTATAAAAGAGGAATTGGATCATGGAAATATATTTGCCATCATGGTTAGGCTTGATCTGACAAAATTTGATTGTATGACCCGCAAGGTATTGATGTTACTAAAGAGGTAGTGAGTTGGCTGATTTCATATTTAAAGGTAGAATGGTACCATTTCAGACTGGTGCTGGTAATGGGTATTTGTATTGCGCCTTTCCCTTGTGGTTATGAAGCGGTGGATATAAAATGTGGGGGTCCCCAAGGTATTTTTGGCCATTTATTATTTTAGGCATTGTATGTTAATGACGTGAAGGCAGCAGTAAAAGTTAAGTTGTTGTTGTATGCTGACGATTTTGCGTTGTTAAGTAAAGGTAAAGATAGGAATGAAATTAGATTGGTATTAAATGAATAACTCACTGAAGTTAATAAATGGTTAGTAGATAATAATTTTCTTCTCATTTAGATAAGACAGAATCATATTTGGAACACGGGTAAACTCAAATCTATACTATGAACATTATTTGTAATAATACTCAATTCAGACTATAACCTCTATATTATATATTGTGATGGAATTAGACCATCATATTGTTACAGGTGAAATGGCTAATAGAGATATTTATAAAGTAAATTCTGGGATTAGTTTTTACTTAGAAATGCTAAATATCTAGATGAGAGATGAGTACGGTACGGACAGTTGAATTACTCAGTTATGGTAGAAGAAGACATAGGTGCTTTTTGGTACTGTACAGTAGCCTAACTAAGAAATAACTAAATCCAAATAACAAATTTGCCAAAATACCAAAAACGGTTTTGAAACTTCTCTCTCGTACCTGAATCATGCTCATTTCAATCAATTAAAATGGTAATCAGTAAAAAACGAAAATAGGTCCTCCGATTTTTTATGTGTGTGTTATAAATCCTGATTTATTTGGGTTTTTTTTTTGTTGTTTTTTTTTTATGTTTTTTGTTTTTTTGGATTGAATTATTGTACTTACAATTTATTTGACAAATTAGCTAATTTCGGAGAGCGCCACCAGCGTCGGTTTATGTCAAGAAACTTGTTATGTTATTATGTTGCTTTGTTGAATGGATGCGAATCCAAAAAATATACTATAGAACGCCATGAAAATACGTAATATGGAACGCCATTGATACTAACCTCAATTTTTTTTAAAGCATTTTCACTGATTAAGACGACGTTTAGGGACTGACTGGAACCTAGTCTACCATTGTGGGTGCTCTGAACCGTTGAGATCTTTTGGAGCCCGGTTCTATTTCATCCGTTGCTCCATGTGTTTCAGCAGAAGGACTTGAATGCAAGTATACAAATGAACGCAGTAAACTAATCGGAAATGAGAAGGGGATTAATTGTCTTCTGGTGTACGGTCTTGCAAGATCACCATCAGAAGGGCCAATCTAATCTAAATCTATGCTCATACTCATCAACGCCTGTTCAGCATCTGGATGAGGGCAGGGGCTTGAGGTGAACCATTACACCAGGGTAACCCCCTACTCGCATCGAAAGATGTGTGAGGTTCTTTATAAAGTGCACATGAGCCATTGTGTACACCTGTCTCTTATACACATCAGATGTGTATAAGAGACAGGTATAATTCAAGCATGTCTTACTCCTGTTCAGCATCTGGATGAGGGCAGCTCATTACATCTTTCCATGAATACAATTTGTGATTTTTATCAAAACTTTTCAGAAAATTGTGATACAGTGTACTGTATTTGAATATAGGCTTACCTGTACTTTCTATTTTACAAAGGATTCTTACTTTTGCTTAGTATTGTTTTTGGCAATTTAATATTTCAAGGGTAAATAACTTCTTATAAAGATTGTAAAGCAAGCATCTAGATTCATACGAGCAGAACTACCCTGAGAGTTTAACCTGAGAAATTGCATTTCGTCTTATTCTATTCATTCTCCTTACAACAAATTTATTAAAAGGAGAAGTGATCGATATACGAAACTTAAGAAATAGATACATTAACAAACCGTTAGGCCACATACACTGGATTATTACAAACATGAACGTCAAGATGACTTGAATAACTCATCAGTTTTCACTAAATATTCATGAATACAAAAACATAAAGCGTAACAATGAAGTATTGACGTTTCAAAAAATCCTACGCAAGGATAATGGCAATGACACAGAACTCAAGTATGAAAAATCATTTACAATCTCAATCTTAATGAAAATTGTCTGAAAAGCCATGTCTTTCCGTCAATGTTTTTGTTATCTTTAGTTTCGTAAGCAAGTTAACAGAATAGTGGAAAACCTTAAGATTTGCATCGATACCGATTCTAACGCATGATAATTTCATCTATGGTATAGCTTTACGTGACCATACAATCCTATAAATTGCAAAATGTTGATAGTTTTGTGTATTGATCGACGTTTTCAACCACAACAAGTTGAGTAACTCTTATTGCTTTTGTTTATACGCTTATTACACTCCTCGATGAACATATCTTTCTATCTTTCTGCTTATTGTTCTAAACGGGCCTCGCTGGGAAAGACCCTAGAATTTTTTTTCTCGCCTTCCAATTCCATGGACCTAGGTTCAAATCCCGTCAGATCCCAGGATTTTTTCAAACCAACTCTACTCTAAATGTATCACTATGAGCATCACGTGTATGTTTGCGTCACGTGCAGGAATTTCCACATATGTAGTAGAACAGTTAAGGTTTATTGTTAATCCTTGGCCATGTGCATAAAGAAAGAAATAAAAAAAAAGACTATCTATGGGTTGTTGTGGGTGGACTTTCAGAATAAATTCATCAGTAATCCCTTTTAGAAAGTTTTTCTGTTCGAAAGACGTATTTATTATTATTATTATTATTATTATTATTATTATTATTATTATTATTATTATTATTATTCTGGAGTTGTGAATTAAACGCTTCCTTCAACATTCTGGAAAAGTACCTAGTTTTAAAAGACGATCAGTGTAAAATAAAGCAAGTGGATGATTTGAACGCAAATTTCTTGATTTGCTCGAAATCAATGCCATTTGGATGGTATGTGACCTACTTATATGCTTATATCAAGAAGCTAAAATTGTTCAATAACCAACTTTTAAAAGGACTCCATGCTGGTCGCAACTCAACAGCGCCACAAAATTACAACTTTTTTGTGACATCCATCGAAGTCTACTTAAACATATTATCAGACGTTGATAGAAAGTAAGGATGATGTGTAGACTTTTTATGCTTCCTAATCCTTAGCATGTGGCGCAGCGTGTAAGGTGTTGGATGGACTTCTGATCATGAGATCGACATCGGGAGTTCGAGACATGACGCCCGTCGCATTGCTTCTGTCCTTGGGCAAAGCAGTTTATTTACGTTGCCTCTCTCCACCTGGTAGGATGGTGTGGCATTGAATGTATTAGGTTGTGCCTGTAAAACAGGGTGATTTAGGGTACTCTCTAGGGCACAGGTGGACAAAGTGCGGCACGCCAGTGATTTTTTTGCGGCCCGCAAAAATAATTTATAAACACTATGTGTGCGGCCTGCCAACTGCCTTTTTTGGCTAGAAAACACGTTGTTTTTTGGCGGCCTGGCATCGATCATCTGTAAAAAGTAAAGTAAAACTGAGCATAAAGTGACCATAAAACAGTGTATGAAGGTTTTTGAAACATCAAATTTTGGTGAGGCCCTCGCTCGAAGTTGAATCAAATTTTCACTTACACTAATAAGAGAATTGAAAAATGCAAGTAAAAAAGAAACAGATTTATATTGCATTGGCCTATACTGCGTAGGCCTGTATACAATGAAATATCGTTACATTTATTGTTGTTTAAACATCTTGAATAGCAAGATACATGATGAAAATCAAAGGCGATGCTACTGGTATGAAAGAGATAACTCAAATAAACCAAGTTAAGTCAACTCTCTCTCACCGTCGGTATTGGCTCAAATAACCAACAGCCCCGTTTAGATATCTCAGCCACAAAGGAAGAAGGAACATATTCCAGTATTTTACTTATATCATTTTCATTGGGTGCCTGAAAATGTCGATATCTGTTTTGGTGAAAAAACAATCATTGACGTGTTGCCTAATGGTAGGCCTATGAATCACGCAAGCCACTATGACATCGGTTTCGTGGTGACGGCAACAGTCCACAGACTTTTTGTTTTATACTTACTTCTCTCTTATTATGTACCGTATCTTTCTACGTACTGTATTATGTTGTTTTGATTTTGTTTGTTGGTAATGTTTGTATTTTAGTCTTGGAGATATTTCGATATATGTATTCTACACTTTTGGTTATCGTTGGGGGTTTTTTTGTTTTACCGTACTCGCGGGAATAAATTTCAACTTGAACAGAAGGAGAAATGAAAATGGAGTAAATAAAAATCAAATAAATAAAAAGAGAGTAAAATCTGCCTAAGCTTGGCATCCGCCTAAAGCAACGCAGTGGAACTCAGAACACCTTCATTGATCTTATGTGACCTCAGCCCGTTTGTTCTCAAATAATAATGTATAAATTAAGTAAAATTTCTATGGAATTAAATAATCAAAATGAACATCATATTGTTTTAGCAGTTTATTCATTATACAGAACATTTTAAACCATGATGAAAGTATTGTATTTTGTATCTTAATAAGAATTACAGTTAAATCTTAGAAACATGAATAACCGGGAACGGGATTGTACTTTAGACATTGTGTTGCAACAAGAAAAGTGTCTAGAGTTTGTATAAATGCCTGTGATTGCCAATATGTATAGGCCTACTGTACTACTAATATACTACACAATATAAATTAAACATCCATTGAGTGATTTTATAAGAACAACGGTGAAGTGAACATTCTCGGTGGAATGGAAGTCGCCCATAGTTTTGCAAGTCAAAACTACAAACTTGTTGAGCTGAATTCGAGCAATCATCGACATGTAGAAATGTCAATAAACCTTATTAGCCACCTCAGGTGGCAGTTGTGGAAGGGGGCAGACCAAAATCGGATTTGGCGATTAAATATATAAAATGGGGGGGGGGACGTTGATGACGCCACTGAAATGTATTCCTATACAAAATGTATTCCTTGTCTTAGAAAAATCAGTTTATGTCCTCTGGAGCCTGATTTAACAACGTAGGGTATAATTGCATAGGGGTGTTTGATATCTTTTGGTTCTTTAATTATGGTAGATTTATTCAACCTAGTATCATAGGTGTTTATTACCTAAAATAATCTTACAGAACCTCTTCTTGATCCGCTCAATGCATGCCGTATCCAATAATGTGCAAGTCCGAGTGGGGACAAGGTCTACAGGAGATACACCATTGGTGTTTAATGGCTCTTAAAATATATAATTTACTACTTGCCTTGACAGTATTATAATCACCATGTAAATCCTATTTGAGAATAGCTTGAAGAATAACTACAAGTACTTTAACATTGTCAACTGTTTTTAAAAAGTGGCCATTCAGATCAATAGATTGATGAAATAGTTACTTTTGCTAAAACTAATGTCCATAGTGCTACATTTATCATGTTAAGTTTCAAAGCCTAATTATGTAGCACAGTCGCACAGTGCACACGATTGAAGTTCAGACGGATTCACAATTTTGCGATGCTCGATTAAAATCATCCAGGGAACAGTTAGAATAACTTAACCGTTCTCTGCATCATCGACATATTTAAATTGTTTCGAAGGATTATATTTCACATCAACTCATAGCCTGGTTGTAAAACTGCTGAAATGAATTTTAGCGGGAAAAAAGTAAAGGAAAATTAATTTTTGGTTTTTCTAAATCAACATACCCTATAGTGTCTCAGAAAAAAAAAAAACCCATGCCTAGGGCTTGAGCAATTTTTTTTACAGCACTTTTAAATTTTGGCCTAAAATACACTATTTTAAACTATTTAAAATGGGGGTAGGGGAAATAACTTTATGTTTTTGGTCACTTTTACATATACTGTGGATATGAAATGTATCAAAAACTTGGCTATATAGTTACTCATCACTCTCATTTAAAAATTTGATCGGAATGATGACGTCATCATGATAAATTCCAAGATGGCGTCCATTATCTGTCTCTTATACACATCTAGATGTGTATAAGAGACAGAGTTAGAATTTCGTCATCAGCGCGATTGATCGTATCGATCAGGGTCCATTGGACGTTGATAACTTAAAAAAAAAAAAAAAAAAAAAAAATAACTGTAAAAACTGACAGGACCTTAGTTAAATACTTACCCATTATAGTCGTTCAGTGGTGGCCCCAGGGGGGTCTGATAGGGTGGGTCCAAACACAGAGCCAACTAGACCCTCGGTCAGAGTCCCGCAATAAAAATCTCTGAGCTTATTGGAGAGTTTTTTTTTAGCTTAGTATGGCCCAAAACGTTGCTTTTAAGCCAAAATATTAGGGATTGGCAGCCAAATTAATGTTTTATGGATAAGCAAATCATTATTTGTGGTGTGGCAACCTCGTCGTGGCATCGGACAATGGGAGTCTATGCCTGTCTGATGGGAATTCCCCACCTCCCAAGCAAATTTGGAATGGTGACGTCAACACACCAAATTCCAGGACTACTACAATCAAAATTAAAGGAAATGTTTACCTATTTAAATTTAATCTTTCTACACTACATTCTTCATCATCATCATTATTATACTATTATGTTGTTACTTTATAATATTATTAATATATGATTGTTGAGAATGGTGATAAGGGTTACAATGATGGATGAGGATCAATGCCATTACCAGGATTTTCAAACGGTGTGGGACAATATCAGGGTGGACCCACTTTACGTCTAAATTTAAACAATGTGGACTGGACCCATTTTACGCAAAAATATGAAATATCTGGACCCATATTCTTAAATTTTACCAATTTTTAGCTAAATGTGAGAAATCTGGATCCATTTTATGCAATAAAATTACATAATTTGGACCAATTTTTAAAATGTGAACCCATAAGAAAAATGGTGTGGGACTTTCCCAACTGTGCCAATAGCTGGCTACACCATTAATGATGACGAGGATGATGATGGATAAGGATGAATATGATGATGAGTATGATGATGATGAAAATGATGAAGGATGAGGAGGATGAAGATTATGAGGATGAATGATCGATGAGGACGTGATGAAGATGAGGACGATGACGATGGATGAGTATGATGTGATGATGATGATGGTGATGATTACAACGATCGATGACAGTAAGGATGATTATCATGATTAGACAACAATGAGAATGATGATGACGATGACGAATAGGATGAGGATGACAGATGATGATAATACTGTAATGATATCAATAGTGGTGATAAAAATATTATAAATAATAAATTCATTTCAATAATAAAATATAATTTTGAAATAATAAGAATATAATATAGTAATATAATAATATTAATAATGATTTCAACAATAATTAATAAGCATATACCGTACTACTATTAAAATAATAATATTTATATATATTCTATATATGTGTACATTGCTTTGATGAGATTGTATTTTATACTTTGAGAATAATAATAATAATAATAATAATAATAATAATAATAATAATAATCTTTTCCCCGCCAAGATGAACGCCATCTTGGAAATTGGAATTATGATCATTTTATTCAAATTTGATAAAGACAGTAAAGAGTAACTAGTTAACTAAGTTTATTGTCAATTTTCACATTTACAGCAAAACTAGAAGTAACTAAAATAATACCATAGTTTTTTTTTTCAATTTACCCCGATCCGAGTCCAGAAATTGAATTGTTGGGTTTTTCAGAGTAAAATTTCGCTATATCTTTTTCCAGTGGGTTTATATTCCGATAGTTTATTATTATTGTAACTGCTCTTGGGCTCGGAGCAAGTTTGGTGTATAGAGGGCGTCTTTGGTCAAATCACACAAACGCGAACAACAAGGCAACAATACGACCATCAGTTAAACAATCTCAAATTTACTTTGTTCCAACCGTGTCTGTCTGACTACCTTTCGTTCATTCGATCGTTCGTTCGGTGACTAAATACAAGAAAATATAAAAATTGACATAAAACAATATAAAACAAGTAAAAGAAAAGAATTATTAAATCTTAAACAAATCGAGGAATCTCGCACATGTTGTAATTGACACATAACACGAATTCCCTCATTCATATTAACATCATTTGATGCGTAAATCACATATCATCATCAAGTTCCATATTACCATTTCACTTCATTTACTAATCATAGTAAGATATCGTTAATCACGATAGTGTACAATACACTCTAAAACATCAACCTTTGAATTACAAACAATTACTTAACATGTTAATCAGTAATATGCATAGAACAAATCCTTACGTGAATATGACCGCTCTAAGCCTCAAAATTCATGTCAATGTTCTCCCTTTCAAACATTATCTCAATTCTGTAACAATAATCAACGTAAAATACGATAGCAATTTTATCTAACTTTAACATAACACATTGCTAGATTCGTAAGAAACATGTCAATTAAAATGATCAAGAAATCATGATAAAATATGTCTAAATTCTTCTTTAATTAATACACATAGTTTACTCCGGGTGGTTCAACAATATAAAACAAAGAAAGCATTCATATGTCTTAACAAAGGAATCTCTCAAGTCATGAAGATAAGCAGAGATCCAAAGTTCTAGTCAACCAATCAACGACCGTAGTGCATATCACAGTACGATCGACATGACCAACACCCTGTCATGACTAATGAATATTCATAAGGTAAACAATCACTTAGCGTACCATGCTAGCCATAGCGGTAAACTCGAATACGGTATTTACTACATGAAATAGGTGAACAATTTCAGGCTTAAATCGTACAATATCTTCACATTGAAAAATAATGACAACATATGTATAGTTTAGGCATTATCTATGAAATATTAGAAACGGCAATACAATAATATTTAGATGCCTGTTTAGAATCGTATAGATACTCATAATATAACGTTTCTCAAAAAACAATGAAACACATGGCGAATTCAAAGCAACATGTCAATCTTATTAAATTCTTAATTACCAAATAAAATCAGATCATAACGAATCCTAATATAGTTAATTATAATCTTTAACTCACCAGTAAACATCTGCTACTGAAAACCAGGTATAAAATGAAGCATTTACACTCACAAATTTGGTATTCTAACCATCAATATAATACGCGTGCATCACCAACTGATGCCAGCTTCGCTCTGCCGACGCGATGTCAAAGCTCGCTCTACCTCACAAATACAAAGATAACGCTGGGGGCGCGCTGCGTAGGAAAGATCCAGAGCCATAGATAGAAAGAGTTGCGACATTGAGAATTTAGAAGCCATTTTGTTTCATACGCGATGCGCGTTCTGTGTCTAACGTGATGTGCGTTCCTGTGTATAACATTGTATAAATACAGTTAACAGCCTCCTGTATAGCTGTCTCTTATACACATCTAGATGTGTATAAGAGACAGTTAATGATTTCACTACTTTATATCCAATTTCATATTATAAATACTGTAATAATTTACTATTTTTATGCAGTTCTTTAATCCTCGCCGATAGACCGAGAGAGCCCCCTCGATGGCAAGCATTCTTCAATTAGGCAATTCTGCCATATAGACCCTAAAATAGCTCCTGTTATTTTTGCAAAATAAATGATATGTGACGACTAGCAAAAATTTATTAAATATGTATATCAAAATGTAATTAAAATCCGATAGGGTATATATATATAGATTGTTGCTCTTTAAATTTGAATATGAACAAGCCTGTACAAATCTTATGTTATTAATTTGATTATTATTATTTATAAATATTAAAATAGTATAAGTCAGTTGGCCGCAATATATAAACTGTGCTTTGCTGTAAATGTTATAATTGTAAGTATTAAATGATATAGAGGATCTGTGATATATTCAACATGTGTAATTGTGTAACGTACATTTTATTGTATTAAAAGTCTCGCCTCTGTTTTAATATTGTATTATGGCTGTACAGATTATGAACACACTGCAAGAGCGTGTCCGCTGTTTTAAAAGCGTCGTTTCCAAAATAAAGTTATATTAATTATATATTATTATGCAATAGAAACATCAAATCATTAAGATTATAAAACATCACCTTTATTATCATTGCCATTCG